TGTATTTTAACTGCAGGTAGTCAGCAAAGTTGACTTTTTTTTTTAAGGCACAATATTTTACTGATTTCAAGACGCACATTTTTTAATATCACTGAAATTGAAAAGTGTTTTTAAACACTGCAAAAGAGTTGACTTGGTAGCAGTTTCTCATAAGAAAAAAGCAAAATAATGTTGCATTTTGCAATGTATCGGCTTGTAGATTCAATGAAAACTGTATTTAGAGAAGTCAGATTGAATTCCCTGTTGAGCTAGTTTGGGTGCTCTAATTCCACATAAGGCAGGACAGCTTGCAGGCACAGCATGGGTCTCTCAACAGCTCTAAATCCATCTCTTTCTTGGGTAACCTGCTGGGTCCCCAAGAGCACTGAGGAGACATCCACTTGATAGTACCATCTACTTTCACAAATCTGTCCATCTCCTGCCTCAACTGCCAGCTCAAAACGACTCTTCCTAAAATTTCCAGGAAATAGAAATTTTAGGTCAAAATATGTCTACAAAAAGGCTTATTTTTGGATTACTGTGTGGGAGCAGGGATATATGGGATGGTAACAAGTTACCTGGTAACAAGACTTTGTCTGGGTCCCTGTTACAATGTAGCCATACCTAGTCAACATTCATTTCATTCTATTTTTTTTTCCAACTAGAAAGTTGATCTACTTATGCCTACTCTATTAGGCTCAGAACTTTCCAAGGTCAAGAAAATTCTTGCTATCTTTGCATTACTCTGCATCCTACAGAGTGCTTGGCACATCAAAGATATTCAATGTGTTGTTCAATCATTCCAAACATCCCTCCATCTAAAGCACTCTGCCCTGAGAATCTTCCTGTACTATATAATCAATTCCAATTTAAAATGTCAAAGATCAGAAGCCTAAAGGGTGGGAGAGTATAAAAAAAGACTCCAGAAAAAAAGTGAACCTCTAAGTCTATTCTGCAAATACTAATTTCAGACACTGTCTGGATAATGCATAACTCCTAATGACTACTAATCTGAATGTGTACCTGTTTCCTTCATACTTAAATTATGAAAGATTACGATAAAACAATGGCACTTGGAAAAGTCTCCTTCTTAATTGTGCCATGTCAGCTGTAGATATCCTTTCATGCATGTAACTAATTCAAACCTTCACTATTTCATTTAAGTCAGATATGCTTAAATATCATCCAAGAAGATAGCAAAACAAATAATGCACAAGCATGCCCCTCCCTCAACTCCACAATTCCATTCTCTAATTCAGAGAATGTCATCCCTGGCCAGACAAATAGAAAGGACCTGAACAGACACTTTTCAGAAGAGGACATACAATCAATCAACAAATATATGAAAAAAATGTTCATCATCTCTAGCAATTAAAGAAATGCAAATCAAAACTACTCTAAGATATCATCTCACTCCAGTCAGAATGGCAGCTATTATGAAGACAAACAAGAATAAGTGTTGGTGAGGATGTGGGACATTGCTGGTGGGACTGCAAATTGGTGCAGCCAATATGGAAAGCAGTATAGAGATTTCTTGGAAAACTGGGAATGAAACCACCATTTGACCCAGCTATCCCTCTCCTCGGTCTATTCTCAAAGGACTTAAAAACAGCATACTACAGGGACACAGCCACATCAATGTTTATAGCAGCACAATTCACAATAGCTAAACTGTGGAACCAACCTAGATGCCCTTCAATAGATGAATGGATTTAAAAAAATGTGGCTTATAGTCCCCAATGGAATATTACTCATCAATAAAAGAGAATAAAATCATGGCATTTGCAGGTAAATGAGTGGCATTGGAGAAGATAATGCTAAGTGAAGTTAGCCAATCCCCCCAAAACAAATGCTGAATGTTTCCTCTGATATAAGGAGGGTGATTCATAGTGGGGTAGGGAGGGGGAACATGAGTGCAATAGACAGACTCTAGATAGGGCAGAGGGGTGGGAGGGGAAGGGAGGGGGCAGGGAGTTACAAGGATGGTGGAATGTGATAGACATCATTATCCAAAGTACATGTATGAAGACACAAATTGGTGTGAACATACTTTGTATACAACCAGAGATATGAAAAATTGTGCTGTATATGTATAATAAGAATTGTAATGCATTTTGCTGTCATTTATTTTTTTAAAAATCAATTAAATATTTTTAAAAAATAACAGCCAATACAACAATATCAGTGACCAGTGTAAAGACTGGAAATGACTCAGAAGTATGGAAGTGTCATGAGCCACAGGAGGCAAGAAATGCACCCAGGACTTTCAGTGGCAGGAGCCATGAAAATACCTGGGAGTCAGACCCTTCTTTCTTCAGAGATCTCTTCTCCCCTAGAGTAACAAGGAGTATTCTTACCCAAGTCCCAAACAGGAGACCTATAAAGAGCAGATTAAAGTGGGTTTGAACCTGGATCATATCAACTTAGTAACATGAGAGGGTGAAGACTCCAACTTCATTTGACATCACCAAGGCTCTATAGAGTCCTCAATACATCACATAATAGTGTCACTGTAAATGGTACTCAGTGGTCAACTGAAAAACAAGGAGCAAGTGAGTGGATGTGGGGAGGCAGCCACTGTACCCTAAACACAAAATAGGAATAAATCCTGCTATATCCTAGTCCATTTACCTGTGTTTACCAAGCTCTTACTCAGTGCAAAGGAATAACATCTAAAGAGAGGGGGGAGGCAGGAGGAAGAGGCAACAGTCAAAAATCCTGTAACTTTTTCTCATGAGGATGGGCTCAAGGGCCACGCCTCTATTTGTTGTAAATGGTTCGTAGAATCTGAAATCTCTCTCTTTAGCTTGAATCTCTGGTTATATCCATTAAACTAAACCTTTCCCTTAAAGAAGCTAGAGATGTATATGGGGGAAGAACAATGTATCGGCACAGATCTGCATGCTACCATGGGTACCACTAAGAGAACTGATGATGGATAACAGAAAGGGTAGCCACCTCAAGGAAAGCTCTTTTGAGACATTCTCGCCATGCTCAAGATCTCTGCTGTCAACAGAGAAAAGACCCAGAGAGTTCTATCACGCTAATCAGGAATTTACAACAGCACAAATGAGACCTTGTGGCTGTACCAAATTCTCCAGAGCCAGAGGCACAGGCACTACATGCTCAACACCATTAAGACAGGCGACTGCCCATCTTAAGTTGATCTTGGGATTTTTAATAGATAAAACAGTTTTCAGTGGTGATGTAATGGGACATGAATTATGTGAATTGCCTGAAATTTTATTCCTTTTCCCAATATAAACCCATACTTGGCTAAAATATCTTCATTTAACTTTCTTTGCTTTTTCTAATTTCATTATATTTAAATCTTAATTTTCTATTGATTTCTAAGTAGCTGAATGGTCTGAAATTGCTTCAATGACAAACAAACTGGCATTGGCTTTTATACAAACCATCTTCCCACTCAGTGTTCTAAACAGGGAACTCCTTGTCTGTTCTTTTAGGACTCCCTATTTCTGTTAATGGACCTCCTTCCTTTTAATTACACAGGTTTCTAACCTCAGTGTCTCCTTGATTCCTCCTCTGCCATTATTCCAATATAATCAGCATCAAATCTGAACTCCTTTACCTACTCAATGGTGCTTTCCTTCCTCTCTGTTCAAGCCACTTCTACTAAGTCTGACCTCCTCATGCTTCACTGAAACCTGGCTTCCCCGCCTCCAGTCTGGTTACCTTATTTCTATGTTACTTAGACATAGCTGACAAATTAACCTGGGGGGGGGGGGAAGCAGGGATCATGAGACTTCCCTGTTCAATACCATTAAGAACTCTCTCTCAACGTGGGGGAAGTCCATAGTTTTTAGCCTCACTACACAGCTCAATATTAAATCTTTCTGTTCTCCTTAAATCCCCAGTGCACCAGCCACTCACTGACCTCCACTCATGCTTAGATCCAGGCCATCATAACTCATGTCTGCAGTTTCCCTCAGTCCCAAGCTCTGTATAGCCAAACTTCACATTTTAGATGGACAATCTAATTGCAGTCTAATCCCCAAAACCTTCCTTGACCACCACAGATGGAAGTGATCCCTCACTCCTCTTTGATGACACTTCTCTCTGCTAAGCAATGTGCTTGTTCATCCCTGTGGTCTCATAAACTCCCTCAACTGGGACTTTCCTGAAGGCTGACCTCTGTGATTGTCCCTGTGGGGACCTAGTGACCTACCAGGCCCACAGCAGTCATTACTCAACACCCAAAACTTTGCTGCAATCTCAGTGTCCCATTCTCAGACTCCTGCAGCCAGTACTGCTCAGACCATAGGAAATTTTCTCAACGAAAACATAATTTCCATGCCACAATTCCGAAGCAGGTAAATATTCTCCCTTAATCATGATCATTTTCTTTTTTTAAATCACAAAAAGGAGCACACTTGTTACAGGATTACGGCTGTAGAAGGCAGATGATGACCTGGACAGGAGCAGGTATGCTCCACGCTACATTATTACAGGCTGGGATTTTCGTGCCCAGGAACGATTCACATACACAGTGGCCAGTTGTAAAAGGCGCAAACGACCGGCGCTTGGGGGGGCGGGGCAGGCAGGGGAGAATCCCGGGAGTTCTACCCTGTTGAATCCCGGATCCAAACTTTTCCCTCAGACAGCGCGGTACCAGGCGCCCGCCGGGACCCGCTGCCGACGCTACACTACCAGAGTCAGAACCGGAAGAGAAAAACGCGTGCGATGGGGAAGGCAAAGGTGACTGTTTGAGGAACTGCTAGAGCTTCGGGGCTGGCCCTTCGTGTTCTGGAGAAAGCGAACAAGCGTCGCGTTATTCAGGGGTGCCGGCCGGTGCTAGGGGAGAACTAGGATGGGGCAGAAAGCAGGATGGAGATGCTGGTGCTGATGCTGAGGCTGCCGCGCCGAGTGACAGCCTTTCCCCAACCAAACCGGGCTGCGCGCCTGGCTTTGCGGCCCCTGGACGCCCAGTGCGCTCCAGCCCATTCCGGCCCGGGCAGGCCCTGAGGGCTGCAAAGTCTGGGGCCGCGGCCGCTACTCACCCGGAGGGTTGACCGCCGCCGGGGTTGCCATCTTGCTGGGAGGATCGGCGCGCGCGGAGCGCGCAGCGGGGACCAGCGCAGGCCAGCGCCGCGGCCACACAAAGGACGGCGCGGGCGGGCGCCGCTCCCCCACGCTTCCCGCTGCCGCGGCCCGCCGCCCCCGCCTCTATCTGCTCCTCCTCCCTGCGCGGCCTCCTCCTCTCGGTTCAGCCTTTGTCGCGCGGCGGGGAGCGCCCTGCCGGGCTCCCGGGTCCGAGACGTAGCACCGCGAGACTTGGGGCTGCCGGCAACTGGACCCCCCAGGTTGGGGCCGCTGACCAGCCTGGACCCCCTCAGGCCCGCGCGGTACTGGGGCTGCCCAGGCTGGGGGTTGCTGGTATACACCTCTTTTTCGTACCCGCTCAGCCTAGGTTATCCCCCACGCCCACCCTCCAGGTGTTCCGGACGCATCACTGAGAGGCGCTGTCTTTTCTGGGGGCCCGGGCAGGGTGGGTGAGGGGTAAATCCATTTAGATTCAGAGGGAAGCCGGTCCTTAGAGATGGCCACGAGAAACAAAGGCGCCCCAGTGCTGCCCACTTAGCATGCCAGGGCCGCTCTGCTTGAATCCCAAGGCCAGGGACGCCGTCCCAGTGCCGAAGGGAGTCGCCGGGTGCCCAGAAATTCCTACTCCCCCACCCCCACCACCGCACTTCAAGGCCACCAGTGCACGCAGCAGCAAAGGGCACTCAGCAGACACCCAGGCACAGGCAGCGGGCCCAGAAAATTGAGAATGGCTTGGCTTTGAGTAAGTCGCTCAGTTCTGCTCCCTTTGCTGTGGTGACTGTCATTGTTTATTTCTTGAGGTCCTTGAAAGAGCCTTATTTACACTGCAAATTGAGAATTTAAAAAGATTTTTAAATAGTTTTATCTGCATATATTGGTGAAGGTAGGGTGTAGGGAGCTTGGAAGGGTTGTTTTCTACTGGCCACTAGGATCTCTGAGAGGGATCAAGGCTTATAGAAATGACACCATCACATTAGGTGCCCTATAAAGCGGAGATGGAAAAATGAATACAGCCTCAGGTAAGAGCCCAGAGGAGCAAGATGGCTCCTAAACATAGACATGTTTACAAAAATATCACACTACCTTAAGTCTTTGCAAAGAAGCATTTGAGGAAATAGAGAATGCTTGAAATGTATTACCAAATAAACACTCTTTGGGGAGTTATTTGTCACTTTTGGTCTAATAGTTTCAGTTTGACAAATGTTGAGTTCTGCTGTGTACTAGGCCCAAAGCTGGGTGTTGGGCATGCAGGGGATGAAACAAGGCATCTGCACTCAAAAGACAGCTGCTTGGAGGCTGAGACAGAGTCTCTGGATACACATCTCCAGCCACTGGTCACTGCCAAATGAGCTAGAGCAATGGAGGCCCTAGCAATTGGAGAAAATGAGTAGCGTATAGAAAGAGAAGACATTTCAAGAGAAAAGTGAAGCATTGTGCATCCAGGCCAAAAAAGAGAAGCTAAGGTCAATCTGGATATCAGATTATAACTCTATAACTCCATCCCACATTAAAGTATACTTTAATATAACTCCATCCCACATAAAAGTATACTTCTCTGGTCTATAACTCCATCCCACATTAAAGTATACTTCTCTGATTCTCCTAGCACCAAGCCAAAGAAGAACTCTGCATCTCTTGTCCATGTCCCCAAAGCAACACATTAATAGCTATGTATGCTTAGTTAATGCACAATATATACTTGAATGAAGGTTTCTTAAGAGGAAGTTCCCTTTGCTCACTCATCAAACAAGGTAGAACTCCATCTCAGGTGTTTCTGCTATTCAGAGTGCCTTCTTGGCCCTATGCCTCACAGGCAATCTACCCCTGGCAGCCTATTTATAATCACAGCACCAGTATCACTGCAGCTGTCTCCTACCAAGTTCTTTGCCTTTTCCAGCTTGCTTGCTTTCTTTAAAAAGAAATGTGGTGCTGAGAATCAAACCTAGGGCCTCATGCATGCAAGGCAACCGTTCTACCCTGGCCCCCTTCTCTGGCTTTCTTCTTCCTTAAAAACTGAGTAAGTTCCCCTTCTTGGCATTTATATATCCATTTAGCAAGCATTGCAGCCACTACATGTGGCTAATTTTGTTTCCAATATGTTTCTAATATTCTCCCTCAAAAATAAAATTGCAGTTGGTATGACTATTACACACATACATCTAGCCATGCATGTTTATTGACAAGTCTTACTTTCCTCTGACCATTTTTCTAAACCCTACTGTCTAAATATCTTTGATACTGAATCTTTCACAAGCCACTTTTTACTTATTCACTGCAATAAAAGACAGCAGGTAGACAACTGCTAGAAATGGGAACACTTTCCATAGTCAGTGTAAGTCTGTTGCATGTTGTAGTTTTGGGTAAATAATGAATATGTTTGAATTTCACAAGGAAGAGTCACTTTCATCTTTTCCACATCACTGAACCTCAGAGGCAGAAAGGACCTTTGCCTTCACCCAATTCAGTTTCCCTAGAGTTTGCAAAGTAGGAAACAAACTCAGGGTAAAGAGGTGACTTTCTCAAGGTCATGTAGCTCACACCACAGATAAGACTTAGAACTGAGTCACTCAAAGTGCTGGGGTTTGGAGACTGGGATGGGGTGGTGTGGTGTGGGGAGCAATGAAAAAGTGGTAGAGAAATAGATGATTTGGGCCCTGACCCACCTCCTCTCTTGTCTCCCAGTATTAAATAGGCTAAATGCTCAGAAACATTGATTGTGGATGAAAGGCCCCCTCATAAGTAAACAGTCTGAAATGGAGCGGTTAGGCATTGTTGAATACTGAGTGGCGTTTACACAATACAGTGGTCTCCTGCTAATTATGAGAGTTAGTAGACTGTGACCAGTTAACAGGCTTAGGAATTCCACTCAACCTTTAAACAACCTAGAACTCTTTTAAATTCCAAAGAAGACTGTTGAATTTAAGGCTGAGATTTGCATTAAAAAAAAAAAAAAAAAAACACTGAGAAACAACCCAGAAATGATCAGAGTTGACCTACCACCTGCTATTAAACACCAAAGTCCCCAAGCCTTTCTCCCCCGGCCTTTAAACTTGGTGAGAGAAAGTAGTCACCCCCATTCTACTTCATATCCTTAACACTCGAGACAAAGAATTTCTGTGTATAAAATGTAATGGTTCTGGCTGGATCTGTAGCTCAGCGACAGAGTGCTTGCCCAGATGTGTGAGGCACTGGGTTCGATCCTCAGTACCACATAAAAATAAACATATAAAATAAAGGCATTGTGTCCATCTACAACTATGATTTTTTTCTTTAAAATAATGTAATGATTCAAGGGATTTTTATCTCTTTTTAACTTCACTTTAAAATGGCAGGAGGGATGCAGATGTGGCTCAAGCGGTAGCATGCTCTCCTGGCATGCGTGCGGCCCAGGTTCGATCCTCATCACCACATACCAACAAAGATGTTGTGTCCGCCAAGAACTAAAAAATAAATATTAAAAATTCTCTCACTCTCTCTTTAAAAAAATAAAATAAAATAAAATGGCAGGAGACTGGGAATATAGCGTGAACTTCTATGGAAATAGAGGGAACAGAAGGGCAAATAATGGACTGCTGTGCAGATAATCACAGACTTTTTCTCTGCTCTTCCCTATTCCTCCATTCTTTATAATTTCTTTCTTTCTTTGCTGGAGAGAAAAATTTATAGGTCTCTGTTATCCCCATTTTTACCTTCTCATCTTTCATTCCTTTTGGGGTAGGGAGAGTTCCTGGGGATTGTACCCAGGGATTCATGCATACTAGGTAAGTGCTCTACCTCTGAGCTACATTTCCACCCATTTTTAATTCTGCAAAGGCAACAATTGCCAGCAGGCTCTCTATGCAGCAGCTCTACCTCTCCACCCTGCTCTCTCTATTAAGGTCTCTCTTTTACACCAAGAATCACAGACAAAACACCAAAGGTGGATGAAGCCTTAATTTTATACAAAAAAAGGTATAAGCCTGAGGGAAAGGGAAAATACTGGGGAATGGTACTGGCCAAATTATAATGTTATATGGTGTGCACATATGAATATGTAACAAAAACTTCCACCATTACATACAACTATAATGCACCAACAAAAGATATGGGAGAAAAAGGAAAAGGCATAAGCCTTTCTTCTTTTGAAGCAAAAAACCATGGTGCAGATCTTTGTTCTATTGCTGAGTTACTCTACCTCCAGAACTTTGTTAAACCTCCCTAAGTCTCACTTTCCCTATCTGTAATCTTGGGATGATGTTACCTGCAATGCTAAGTTATAGCTAAGGTAATGAGGTAATCCATGTACTCTATACACTTTAGAGACTAAAATGTTCTTCTGATAGCGTCACAGAGGGAAGAGGAGTGAGGCAGGTTCCTGCCCAAGAGAGAGGTCAGATGGGGAAGCTCATCATGCTGAGTTTCTTGAAGAGGGAGAAGAAGAAAGGAGAGAGGGAGAGAATAGAGAAAAGAGTCAGCCCCGCATGATCTGATTTTTGCATTCTAGGCTTAGTCCTAGTAGAGACATATCAACAAAGCCAAATGCAGAGGAGTTGGGGGCTCAGTCCCCTTGGGAGACTAGGAGACCAACAAAGTTCTGCAGGGATTCAGGTGTGGCTCCAGAGCTGAGCCTGAGTAGTGCTCCGGTCCCCGTGGCTCTTGTTGTACTAGTTGTCCTCTAAGTGAGAGGGTCATGGAAATCACACTCAGCAAGAGATAAGCATCACTCAAAAGACTAGAGAACTCAGATTTATTACTCCAGCAAACTAAGATGGGCTAGTGCTCTGACATTCTGGGCCCCTGAGCTGAAGTTACATGGAGCTTTTAAAAATTTTGACATCATTTCTTCACTATTACAACATCAGTGGGTTTGAATTCTTGGCCTATGTGATCAAAGACCATGCACATGGAAATTATAATAAATAGCTACCAGGTGTAGAACAAAGACAATAAAATATCTGTGAGCATTATCTTGAAGAGGCCTTCATCACAGACAACAGTAACTCAATATGACTTGAGTTCATCTCCTTAAGAGAGATTTCTAAGAACTAAGTCAAAGAAGTTGTAGTTTAGATAGCAGTTAATTGGCCTAGCAATTAAGTAATGTAGCTACATTTCTACAGAGTTCAAAAAGTTTCAAAGTATAAGAAGAAATGAGGGGCTGGAGTTGTGCTTTCCTAGCACCTGTTAGGCACTGGCTGATTTTGTGGTTCAGCAGTAGAGCACTCACCTAGCATGTGCGAGGCCCTGGGTTTGATCCTTAGCACCACATACAAATAAATTAATTAAATAAAGGTATGTGTCCAACTCCAACTAAAAAATAAATAAACATACATATGTATACACACACACACACACACATATATATATATATATATTTTTTTTTTTTAAGAAATTACACTCTTTACAGGCACCTGTTGAATCTCTGACCTGTAAGCCTTTCACAGGGATGTTTACATTTTGAAAGAGAGACTCCCAGAGACAGCTATTTACAATCAAATAGATAATTAGGTTCCCTGAAGA